GAGAGAGAGAGAGAGAGAGAGAGAGAGAGAGAGAGAGAGAGAGAGAGAAGGAAAGAGAAGAAATAACATAAAAATCGTGTATTTTCATGCCGAATAAGAGCTCACCAAATAAATGTGACATCAACAAATATGCATGTGCGTGTGCTGTGCGTATATACCGATGCTTTTATAATTGTGTGTTGATAAAAACCGAATAAAAAGAAGAAGAAGAAGAAAAACACGTAAAATACAACTCGAACAAAACTTTTGTAAATGTAATTTTTTTTTCTTCTGATGCTGTGTGAATGAAACAAATAACAACGAAACAATAACGTTTTTTTTTTAAGTTGGTGCAAAGAATTTATTTTGGTGACGTGCATTTTAAAAACTATTTGAGGTATTTTGTTTTCAAACAGAAATCAAAAAAAAAAGAAACAACATAAGGAAGAAACCAGAAACTCAAAGAAAGAAAAAAATCGAAATATTTTTACTTGATCCCGTCAATTACTGAACTTTTTTCTTTGACGACCTCATTCAAGTTTAAAACTTTTTTCCTCGTTCCGTTTAGTTTTTCTTTTTCATTCGTCGAAGTTTTAATTAAGTGATTTTTCGGTGACGATTTTGTATTGAATTGAACGGTCACACAAGCCCGCCAGTTGTACATTCAAACGAACTGATGGATCATTGTGATACATACGTGCTACAAAAACGATCAGGTAAGCAATGAAAGCTTGATTACTTCCTTTCTCTTCATTTCGCACCGGACCGTTTATGCAGATGATGTTTCGATATTGCGGTGAAATGAACGTCGATTTTCGGTCGTTATCGGACACAAAAAGTCTGTTTGAAAGGTGATTTGGCGGTGAAAATCGCGAATTTTCGGGCAATTTATGATCGTGAATCGAGGATTTTTGTGGAATTATGATCACGAATCGGAATTTGTGTGGAATAATGATCACAATCTGCATTTTTTGGGCAAAATAAGTGACGATTTAGTATCAAAAATTCAGAATTCTGTTTAAAAAAAATGATGAGTTAGTTCCAAAAATGGAGATTTTCTTCCAAAATATGACAAAATTGGTCGGAAATTCATCAAAGAACCTCGAGTTGAGATTCTCAACGTTGCATATGGTTATTGAATCGATTAATTCGGTTATAATTTCGATACGCATTGTGTGTTAATTTGCATTCGGTGTGGAAAACTACCGAAAGCTTAGCCATGTTCATTTGGTTTGTCGGCTATGTTGTTTGTCATGGATTCATGAATTCAAATCGCATCGGTTCCGATGGAATTATGGCTGTAGTTCTCTTGGAATTGTGGCTGCGGTAGCAGAGAAACATTGGTCATATGTGACCAAAACCGAATATGAACAGCAAGAGCAGCATCATTCTCGACCGAAACAGTACGACAAACCGTATAGCAGACAGAATAAATACGCGCAAAAATATCAACACCGAAAATGTTCGGTATGTTTTGAAAGAAAGCCTGCGCACACATCGACACAGCTCACAATCAAATCCGATTCCAATCAGTTAAAGTTGTGCGCATTGTAACGCAATTACAATTCACATAGAAATGAAGGAAAACAAAAGTCGTACTGTATCGACGGCAAGCGAGCGAGCGAGTGAACGAGTGACAGCAGCAAGACGAAGAGAAGTAATGAAAAAAGTAACAAGAATGTGCGGCACAAAGTCGGGCCAGAGAGTGAGGGCTCTAGTACACTCAGTGTTTAATCGAATGTAAGGAAAGAATGAAGAGAAAGAGCGAGATAGAAAAAAAGAAAGAAAAAAAAACCAGATCGTTTGAGTGTGCAATTTATCAATTGACATACAAGCAATATAGCCGCTAATTTGCTATAGTAAATACTAGGCACAAAACAACAATAATGACAACAAACTCGGTACCATTTTACTGCTTCCAGATTCGGTTTCAATTTGTCTCCATTCTTTCATCTTGTTTGATTCTTTTTCTGTGGTTGGATGCTTTTTGTTCGAATGAATCGCTTGACGAGAGTCGCATCGAGAGATTTTTCCTTTTGATAATGACGATATGATATCGACCCTTTAGATGATTCAATGATGTTGTCCCTTTTGATATTGCTCATGACGTTTTTTTTCTTTTTTCAATCCAAATACAAGATTTAACAAAAATTTTGCTCACATGATGCCATTCCAAAGCGTGACATTTTACGCTTTCAATTGCAAGAGAGCGATCATGCTGGTGATAAAGGCTTTTTGGGCTAAATTATATTCGGTGAGTGTTGTGAGTGCGCTTTGTGTACATATCAATTGCTCACTGTGCGTTGAGTTGCGCTCTCTGTTGAGAGAGCCTATTGGCCAACGTAAAATAGAAAAACGTAAAAGAGACCGAAAAAAAACAATGTCGAAAACGAAAATCAAACAAACGCAACACACAGCCAGTAATAAAATTCACTTAATGTTTTCCATTAAAATTCTTCGCGCCAAATTCCGTTTGGGTTCCACACTCACACTGAAATTCAAATGATCGATGATGAATTCTCGTCAGTTGTAAATTTTTCGGTTGTGTTGTCGGTTCTTAGTGTTTGGATAATACTCGCGCCGCGTGAAAATTTTCCATGGTCAATCTGAAAAAAAATATGCGTAGAAAACGACCGTGCAAACGTACATTAATGCCGAAAAGTGAATGAATATCAATTGCGCTGATTTTCGTTCCGCTCTGAAAATGTTTGTGGATTTTGTGTGTGATTATCGCGTATCGTGGCAATGTGGTAGCAACACAAATCAACATTGAAATAAATGCGCTTGATAACAAGCGTTGTTGAAGCGTTTTTTTTTCCTTCATCGAGCGCGAAACACAATAGACTCATAATGATCGTCAGATGTTTGTCGTGTTGATGCTGTTTTTCCTTCTTTTTCGCAGAAATAAAAAACTTACCATCATTTGTGCGACTCCTTCTCATGCGTGTTCTGTGTGTGTGGGTGTGAGAGAGAGAGAGCCGCACTAAAGTGCTGACACACGCGTATAAACAAATAGTATATAATTTGGGCTTAATGAGCATCGTACACGGAATGAATTGTCACTTGATACAAACATCACAATTGCCGCTCGATTGGCTCGATGTTATGACTTGAGCGCCACACACAACAGTAATTCTATCACAACACACAACCGAGTCGCTTTTTTTCTTCAAAAAGAAAAAATGCCAGAAAGAAAAGCCTGTGTGTTGTCACATTGCACACGAGAATGGCATAGGAAGGAAGCACAAGAGGAAAAGAGCACATGCAACGGAAAAACGGCGACCAACAACAATACCATGTGGGCACTCGTGTTGCGTATGCGCAATAGAAGCGCATTAAGAATGGAAAACAATGAAAAGAAAAGAAAATTCAAATGAGAGTGAGAGCAAGTGAGTAAGCGACAAAGTGAAATAGTGTGGAAAACAGAAGAATAAGAAGAAGCACTTGTGAACGAAAGTTTTTAGTTGAAATTGGTAGTGAATGGTTTGTTGTTTTTTTTTCGGAAATTCCAGTACACACTTGAATTCCACAAGAAGCCCGACAAAACGATTTTTCTTCACATTTGATTTGGTTGTGTGTTATTTTGCCATTTGCTCTCTGTCTCGCTCTCGACCAATTTTTCCCGTCGACCGTCGAGCGACCATTTACCAATTTTTCGATCCGTTTCGTTCGGTGTGTTGTTGTGTGTGTGTGTGTTTCGTTTTTTTTTTCTCTTCTTCACTCTCTCTCGTGTGTGGTACACACAGTCAGTTAATCATTTTCGGTGGACGAAACAAGGCTGTATCAACTTTGGCCCAGAATATAAATTTTATTTTTTATTTCTCTCTCACACTCTGTTATCCGAAATCAACGAACAGAAACAACAACAACAAAAGTTAAATGAGATTTTTTTTTTCTGTTTAAGCCGTATTAAAAAGTGATAAAGCGCGAACAGAAAGAAAGGAAAGAAGAAAAAAAACAGTAAAACTTAAGGTGATTTTGTCAAAGCTAAAAAAATTGAATGTCAAAAGACAAACACACACACAAACACCGAGAAGTGTTTGAATTGATTTGACTCTTGTTTATTGCAATTTGGTGAGCTTTTGCCCCCGAAAAAAAAAAACAATAACAAAAACAAGAGTAAAGACAAGTCAAAGAAGAAAATAAAAAGCGCCTTACAAACGCGAGACAGTTTTGTGTTTTTTTTTCTTCTGGTGTGTGATATTGGTTGCGCTTACACGGTGTGTTGCAGAATTCGAGAGAGAAAGCGAACGAGCGAGCGAGAGAGAGCTTGAGTGTATGTTCGAGTGTGACATTGACGCTTTTGCTTCAGAGGTAAGAAATCAATGGACTTTATCGCAATTTCATCATATTTAATGGCCTATAATCAGGCATTGTTGTGCGTTTTTTTCTCCTCTGTTTTGCCAATCTACCGAAAAACGATGAACACAATTGAATCTCTATAGTTTCACTATGACGTTGGCCGTTTCTATCGTGCGCGCGGATTCCCGCATTCTCCCGCCGCTACCCGATAGTGAAATAAACGATTGCGATGGTGGTTTTTTTCCCTTTTCTTATTCCCTTCCCTTCCCAGTGTGTGGGCATAAGAAAGGAATTTTTTTTTCGTTCTTTCTCGCGATTCGCTAATAATCACAAAATCCGAGACTGTGTGATAACAGCAGGCGAATATCATTTGATATGTACGTTTTCCTTTTCGTGAAACTTTGGATACTTTGCAATTTAATGTGAATAATTCCTGTGCGAAGTCGTAATTCGTCGACGTTTCGGTCATTCGTTTGCATGGAAATACGATGATTTGAAGAAAAAAAAATCGATACAAATCGCAGATTCGAGAGACCATTTTACGATTTTCACAGAGAGTCCATGGGTTTCTCTTGGTCAGTGTGTGAAAAATTCCGTCGTTGTTTTTAGATTACTTTGTAAGACTTTTTGACTTTGTTTAATAATAATAAGAAGAAGCTTCGAATAAGAACCAAAAAGAAGCATTCAGTTAGGAGACGACGGACAAAAAAAAACGAACGGAAAAACGTCAAATTCGGTTTGCATCATATTAGTATTCATTTTTCATGTACTTGTTGCTTGTTTTGTCAATTGTTAAGAGAGAATAGTGGCTCACGCGCGCACTCACACTTACACACATTCATACCGATTCTCCTGACTCTCTCTCTCTTTCTCGCACACACACACACATCGGCATCGGGGGGCACTTTCATCCATTCCATGCTGTCTGTCTGTGTGTGTGTGTGTTGGCATGTGTACAATTCCGGGCTGTGTGGTAGTTTGTGTGCGTGTACGTCATGATTTCATGTGTTCTGGTTCTTCGTGTTGTTGTTCTGATGAGCGAGCGCTTTCATTCTAGTTGTCATACATATTTCTGTGTTGTTGTTGTACTGTGCGATTCGATTCCTGTTCTTTGGCATAAGCGATTTACGGCTCCTTATGCACGCGAACCATTTGAATCCATGCTCACACACAATGATCTCGGAGCGCGAAACAAACTTTTGTTGCTTTATAAGCTTCATATTTTTCGCGTTCCATTCTCCAATTGTAAATGGAAATGGCAGAAAAGAATAAGTACCTTTTTTTCCTGTGTACTTCTTTTCTGTTTTTGCTTATTCTGTTTGTATATTTCTATTTGGATAGAAAATGTGGCGTTTATAAGCTAATCGAGAGAGAGAGAGAGGGAGAGAGAGAGAGCTTCTGACACCGTGTATGCGAATTGTGTGCTGTTTGCAGAGCAGCAACAACAATAATCACACAGAACAGAACAGAAAAAAACTCTGCGAGTAAAGAAATGAAACAGAAACAAAAACACTTATTCAGTGGGCATTTAATTCAATTCTTTTTCCTGCTCCGGCGAATATATGCATACAAACACACACTCATACGTTCCATCGTTTTTAAATACATGGGGCTTACACGTACATCGCGCAAAACACTCACTGGAACATTGTTTAGCCAATCTGTTTTTCTGTGTGTGACAATGTGTTTGTGCTTTTTCAAGGTCGATCGCTTGCTTTACGACACGATAATTACATGTATACATAATAAAAAAAAAAAATATATACACAGCAAATAAGCGCGCACAAAGAAGCGAACGAGCGAGCGAGTGAGCGCACGAAACCGCCGTTTAGTAAAAAAGCAGGCAGTGGCAGTGAATGAGCGCGCAAAAAAAACTCTAATTGGTGAAAGAGTGAGGGAGAAAGAAACACACACACACACACACTATATATAGTGTAAAGTGATGATATCGCCTGTGCCCGCGAATCGACATGAAGAAGGCAAAATACAGCAAACATCGTCGTCGTCGTTGTTAAAAAAAAATGTGAATCTTGTTGTCGCGCACGATTATTATTACTTATTGTTGTTGTTGGCGTTGCCATTCATTCCTCCATATTATATATTTTGTGCAATTTTTGTGTTTTCTGATGCCGTTGTGTGTTATTCTCTTCTCTGTTGTTGTTGTTTTTTTTGCGCCACTGCTGCTGCCTTTCGCTTCATTTCATTTTATTATATATTTTTATTTATCATGCAAAGACTTGTTCGACACTTCGTGTTTTGTTATTATTCATGTAAATGCGTTCTCGTCACTCAAGCTTTTTTACTTTTATTATTATTTTTTTTTTTGCACTCTGCTGTTGCTGCCGTCACTGCTGCTGCTGCCGTAGCAAGAGAGTTGCACTTCAAATTTCCTTTTAACTGACTGCATGATTTGTTTCTTCTTCGTTTCGTCTAGAATAAATTGAAAACCATCAACTTGTTTTGCCTTATTTATTGTGCGCTTTTTTTTCTTTTCACTATAAAATTCTATGCATTGCATTGTGTAACCGGCTTATGTGAATGAATTGCTAGCTCACTGATACTTGTCTCTATGTTTGCCGTTCTTTTTTTTTCGTCGTCGCTGCTGTTAACGTTATTCGAATCGGTGTGTTTTGCTATTTTCTTTCGGTCAGTCGATCTGAAGTAATAATAGTAATAAAAAGCGAAACCTTATCACTTGACTCACGAAACTCGCTTTCTCTTTCCTGGATTCTCGCAATGGTTTTGCTCGTTCTCACTCACTCACTCACTCCCGTGCTCGCCGTGTATGTCAAACAACCCCGATAATCAGCATGTATCAAGCGAGCCCCGAGCCAAGCTCTGATTTAACCAAATCATCATCCAAATGCTCATGTCATATTTCGTATGTGCAATTGTTCTGTTGGTGTGCTGATCACTTGCTCGTGTTTCTTCACATCAGGTTTGCTCCCTAATTAGGTCTCGCTCTCTCTCACGGTCCCATTGTCGCTTTTTATTGATTTGAATTATAGCGAATTAGGCGAATATGGAGAGTATACGGCGAACTTTAGTGTTGCATTTCATATGCATCGCTCGCTCACAATCTGAGACAACGATGAGCTCTTTACCCGATGAGCTCTTTACCCGTTGACCCTATATCTCGTTACCTTTGCCTCTGATATGTGCTGCATTTACACCTCTCGCTCTCTCCTTTTGCCTTTCTGCTCTTCTGCTCTTCTATCTTTCAGTAGAACCGACATCATAGTACCGATACAGTGTGTGATAGATCACTTAATCAAAGGTATTTGACGATTTTTACCCGCATGAACAAACATCGCCGCAAATTGAGTCAAAGTGTCAAATATTTTGAATGATTCGATGTACTCGCGTGACATCATTATTGACACCGAAATTCCACCTGTGACACAAAATATGCCGTTCGTGTTCTTTGCTAGATTCCCATCATTTTTCCCATCCTATTTTGCGCTCTTCAGTTCGTTGAGAACACTTGACAAAACGGTGAATGGAACCAAAAAAAAGAGATGTGTCAGTCCGAAAGAAAAAAAAAAAAACAATCATCGGCATGCATGATTTACTCGATGATCGGCTTTTGTCATTTGTCGCACATTTTCTCACTGCTGCCGTCATCACCGCTCTTCCCCCGGCCTCACGAACAACAACAAAAATACATATCGAATGTCCAAAATAGCATTTGATGTGTGCAACATATCTGCCAAAAAGAGACCAAAAACGCGGACACAAAAAACCTGTGATGCTATAAGCCAACGTGTGTATTTCTGCCCAACGGCAATCAGAAGCAACAATGACAACAACAAAAAGTTTATGCCAACGCGATGAATAATTCAAAAGACATAATCAATGTTATGGTCTTGTTGGAAAAAGCAATGGTTAAATACGATGAGCTGTTCAAATTACTCAACACATTTGGCATCTGTGAATTGGGGTTTTGTTGTTGGTTTTGCGCTCTTCTTCTGCCCATTTTTCGCTCTTCTTTCTCTTCCCTATTTTTTGTATCTCATTTTTTTGATCTTTATCTCTTATTTTCGGTGTATTTCTCTCAATTTTGCTCATTTTTCCCTCTCTAGCCTTCTCTCTAGCTAGTTCATTTAGCGGAAACGGTTGAATGCAAATCGAATTTGTGTCAAAAAATTTGCCAGCAAACTTGATAATCGTCCCAACTCGACATCGATACTTTTCATTAGTATCATACTGCTGACTGATTTGTCATTTCTCTCGATACACACTCAATCGCGTGTTCTTCATTGTTCATTCTCTCGGTTTTTTTTGTTGTTGTTGTTGTCTCTTGATCACGATGTGAATTTTATCTATCAAAAGACAATTAAGAACTGTTCAACTCAGCGTATATTTTTTATTATGGCTATCAAAAAGTGCGCTAATAGATTTTTGTTTGATTTCACGCGCTGTTTGCAAAATAAATCCTAAAAATAGTAGTTTGGATCTAAAAATAGCGCAAAATTTCGTTGATACTCAATTAATAAGTCATTTGATAAATGTGTGATTTAAGATTAACTAATTGGACCAGGTCAATAGTATGTCTGTTTTTTTTTTCTTCTCTTCATGAGAGCTTTTGCATCAACAGTCAGCGTGTTCATCGTGATTTCACTGGCGAAGGGCAGACACATTCATATTGGTTGTTGTTGTTTTTTTCGGCCAGTTAACATTCAACACAACGGTCATGCTACTTGTTTTACTGATACTGGTTTCTTTGCATGCATATTTACACACACACACACACACACATCGAAAAAAAGACCTGAAAAATTTCCACTCAGATTCAAAGCGAAAAACAAAATCTTTGACCACAAAACAAAAAGCCATAGCTATCAAAAAAAAAAATAAGATGAAAAACGATGGTAATTTGGCGATGGATTTTGTGTTTCGTCTTGAATTGTTTCTTCTTTTTGAAGAAAGCACCTTTCAATCGGAATCGAATCAATGGAATCGGAACAAAAAATGATTTAAGATGATCGCACCAGGGAAAACTAGAACAACGCCGATTACAGCGGTCTTTTGATTTTGCATAGTGTGAAATGAGATTTTTATTCGCGCGCGCTTACACAAGCGCTCTCTTTCTCTGTTTTCGGTGGCGATTAAGGCAACAACAAAATTTGATTGAACAGATCATAATGTTGTCAAACCTGTTCCGCAAAATCGTTATAACTACATTGACGACGCAGAAAAAAAAAGCAGGAAAAAAAACCAATCTCGCAAGTCACAAAACACAGCGAAGACAGAAGGAAAAAAATAAATAAATAAAACAACAATGACAGCAGCAATCGCAGTCATCGTCGTCGTCGACGGGAATATGAATATGAGAAAAAAACGGCTGCGCGCATGGAACGCACATCAACCATAAAATACAGGTTGTAAGTTCATAATATTTACATAAATCGTGAATTAATTAAAATGATCGGAGAGAAATCCAAGAGGAGACAGAGACAGAGAAAGAACATAGGTCCGGCAAGAGTATCGGAGAGAAACGATGCGGCGATCGATGAGCTGGACGCGCTACCGATGAGATAGTGAACGAATAAGAGAGAAGGGAACAGGAGAATGGGACATAATATACAGCAAAAGACCTGTCGCGCTAAATAACTTCGAAAGAAGCAAAAAAAAAACACTCCAAAATGCTCTCAAGAAAAGTAAAAAAAAAACGAGTGCGATTTCAACCGAAAATACACAATGCATGTCTCAAAATACTACATTGCGTATTTGTATACAACTTTTCTAGTCCGTCACAATCGTATATAATAATTTCGAGTGTACACACCGACAACCGAACTACACAAAACGCAATATCCAAAAATAACAAGATTGGTATAAATTTAAACGAAGCGTTCATTTTTTTTATTATAAGTTCACCCTGTTCGACATTTCATTCCGTTGAAAGTAACAGCGACCTATTTGATGACGGCAAATACGATTGTACGACGACGACAACGACAACAACGACAACAACGACAACAAGAACAACAACAACAAGAACAACAACACATTAGCCGAAATAAAGAAGAAGAAGGAAAGAATTAAAATATAGCAAGTCGCATATTTTTAGATTGTTCAGGTGTTGCTTTTCATATACGTGTGACCAAAAAAAAAAAGAGTAAACAGTAATGACGACGATGATGATGATAATATAATAGGCTTATAATATGATTGTTGTGAATTGGATGTGGTGCGCATCAATGAAGAGCATACAGATATATCGCTAGTGACTGGCAAACACACGAAATTGTCGCTTTCAATCGGCATTGTTTTTGGTTGAGAGAGCATGAGATTGATAGAGGCGCTGGAGCGACTTGAGATGTTGTGTGTGTGCGTTCGTTTGCTTTGATTGTATGCATGTCATGTGTCAATTGTGTGTCGATTCGTTTCGTCCGTTTGGTCTCGCGCGCGCGTCTATCTCTCACGCACGAAATCAATGTTTGACCAACTAATCAATTTACGATCATATTAATTTCCATTGTTTCAATTGAAACGGACAGTCTGTGCTCAGTTCGACTCAATTTATTTGATTTAGCTGTGCCGAATTTTTTCGGTTGCTTTGGTGGAAACGCTGGTGAGACAACGACCACAGTGGTGGCAGAGATGATGAGAAATGTGGCACAGAGTGTCAGCCAGTGCCGACAGCCATGATGGACGACCTGTTCACACTGCTTCCGATCATTTCAACAGCCAGTCAATGTAATCACACAATTTTCGGTCCACACGCAATTTTCTTCACCTCACCGGGCTGGGCTGGGCTGGGCTGTGTGTATGTTTTCCATCGGATGATGCTGAAATCAAAATTTATATCCAAACTCAAAAAATAGCATCGAACGACAAATAAAGATATATTTGTTTATATTTCATTTTATATATCGGGTGGATAAATGCTATTTTTGGCCATTGTCGTTGTTGCCATTGCCACACAGTGTCGCTTTGTCTCGTTGTCAGGTTACTCTCACTCTCGTTTTTCAACCTCACTCGCCTCTTGGCCACACTCTTATTTGCGTTGATTTGCAATGCGTGACAAATGAATAAAATTATGCGTGTGTGTGTGTATGTGAGTTTTTTTTTTGGCTTCGTTCGGGTAGAATGAATGACATTTCGTGTTTCGCATATTTTTTTTATCTCTGGAAATTAATGCATGAAAACGTGTGGTCAAAGATGCTCAGACTTATTATTTCCATGTTTGCTCGAAATGTCATGCACATGAAGAGAAATGCTCGATTTTTTCGTGTCGACAGTCGAAACGTCGATTGAAAACATTGAAATGAACAATTTTCTTTCGACATGCAAAGATGCACTCAAAATGACCGAAAATAATTGAATATGAACACTGAATAGTCAGTGGTGAAACGGGGATCAAGGGTGCGAGCGTGGGATCGAAGGAGAAGGAAAGAGAGAGGCCTAGAGAGGGAGAATGAAAGAAAGAAATCGAGTGTCCAAAAATGAAAATTCTGAATTCAGTCACACCGAAGGTATTTTAGTGTGGTGGAAAATATGTGGGTCGATGGCATCGATGGCGATATGTCGATGAAAATATGACGATTTTCGTTTGCGGAAAATCAGATTTGTTTCGCTTCGACAAATTATCGAATCATTCGTCGGTTGAAATCGGCATGTGCTATTTTTCATCATAGTCATTGGAATGATTGACACTTGTTTACCTTGTGTACTTCTCCATGTTTGTTGATATGCTGAGATCAAATATACACCAATTTCCGGGGCTCTGTCTTAGGCCTTTTGAATGGCAACCGTTGTTTGATGCAGTGTGTCGGCTTATTAGATATAGTATGTTCGACGAGTGCTTGTATCTCATCAACACTAATCGGAGCTTACCATCTCCGCGAATATGACGCATTCATCAAAGCGAAGGAGGCGTTCGTTTCCATTTCGATAAACAAAATCAAAGGCATTTTCATGATTATTCATTTTCAAGTTGAAAATTCCAACTTATTTTCAACTTGTGTGCGTTTACATCAATTTTCATACGAAAAAAAAAAACCGGAAAATATTCCCTACCCATTTTCTTTGCACTACGAACAGGCATATGATGCTGAGACATTCGAGCCTGTTGGCGATCTTAACGACGGGCCAACCCATTTGTTCGGCAAGTGAAACAACAATATTTTATTTGGGTGTTGATTTCCAATTAAAATAACTCCAAGGCACTGGAAAGAATAAAAAAAATAAATAGCCGCACCGAATTAGAAACCAGCACGAGTTTTACCTTGAAAAATGCTCGCAAGACAGAGTTTTTTTTTCTCTCAAAACTCAACGCGATGGAGAATTTTCAAATGAAATCGAGACGCAAATGAGAGAGATAGACTCAGGATAGTATCCTTAACCATGGAAATAGGAAAAATGCGTCAAATTTCACCGTGAAAATTGGAACGAAAATTCGGGTCGGTTGCGCCTGTGATAAATGTCGAACGAAATAAATTGCGTACTTGCTTTGGGTTCAGTCGACACCGTCACAGCGATGAACGATTACAGTTACATGTACACATTTTAATTCCGTTTCAAGCCTGCCTTGTTGTGCCCATTCCTCCGTGCTGTTCATGATTTTTGTTGGTGTTGTTGTGGTGGTCCGATGGACGTCATTACATTTCTATTTCTGCTGTGCATCCCATTTGGTGGGTTTAGCCGAAGCTCATCCCGGCCGACCGATCGAAATGGTCGTGTGCGTTCGACGGTTTGTTTCACTTCTCTCCGTTTATGCGTTATATATGTGTGTGTGTGTGTGTGTGTGTGTGTGTGCATGTCGTTTTCGATTCTTTTCTTGTTTGTTTTGTTTTCCCTCTATCGATATGTTGTTGTACGTTGTTTTTCTTTTTTCGGTTTTGTTCACATTCAATCAATATTACGTGGAATATTCAACAATCAGCGTCAAATGATGACTCGGTGTCAGAGTGCTTGACAAGTGAATAAATATTTATCAAGCAAATAAATATAAAGTACTTTCTACTACACTCTTTTCGGTTCTGTTGTGGCCCTTTTACTGCGCTTTTTTTCTCTTCTTCTTGTTCTAGTTCGCCCTCGGTTTTTTTTCCCTATTTCTATTCATTTGCCTTCTTACTACTTGCGACCCTTGTGTCGATTCAAAGCCGAAACAATTATAACTTACGGACCGTAACTTACGATGTAAAAGGCACAAGCTCATTTGCAATTGTCAATCATTTCTGGTGCATCTGAAGCTCAATCGATGTGCACCAAGAAAAAGCCCCTCATCATCCGCTCATCTGATCGCTGTGTGGAAATTCCAACGCATATTCTGCGTACAGCTCAACTCTGACTGTGATGTTTGTATGCAACTGGGTGCGCGCACCATAATTGAATTTGTGCGTGGGATGAATGCTTCGTGACAGATACGCAACAACTCAACTTCGATACGGGTTGTGACTGAAGGGTTGGCACACACGTACATACACATAAACACACTTTTTGCGCACTTGTTGCCTGACACTGAGCATTACAAATGACCCTGCGTGAGATTGTTTTCATTGGTTATTGTTTCAGACAATGTAAATATCGCATCTTCGACAGCAGAGAAAAAAAACCGAGCTGTGTGTGCTCGCGTGCGACAGCATGAGAGAGATGGAGAGAGAACAAGAGTGAAAAAGAACGAGAAAGGGAGGAGAAAGAGATGGGAAGATGGCGAGAGAGACAGCAAACGGACAGCATTTCGAATTAGAAGACAATTGATAAAGCATATATAACAAATTGAAAGGGAAAACACACGTGAATGTCAATGGAAATTTCCACACTCACAAATCGAGCGATAATTGAACATTAAATTCGGACTTTTATGCTCGCTCTTTGATATGTCTGCCCGTATTTGCAAACATCGCAAATGCTCATGACTCATCTCATCGGCGATGCGGCATCGCACAACTTTCAACTGATAAATATGCACGAATTTCGTTCGATTCGAAAAGAACAAACGACGTTTGTCAAACGTGTTATTTTCGGTCTGCAAGAAGTTTTATTTTAATTCATTCGACCAACAAAAGTTGTGTTCTATGCCTGTCATTTAGTGGAATTTCACATTCCAGACATACAGCAACTAAGTGACCGAATAATCAGTTGTTCGGAGTTTTAAGCCTTGAGTTGTAAAATTGAATTTAGTTTATTTGAATTGTAACATGTACATAAAAAAAAAAACCATCAGCATGGTAAATGAGGTGACACACGAATGCATTTGCTCTAAACGAACTTCTAATTGACCACCGCCAATACGAAATTACATTTGCCATACATTTTAACAACTTCATTGCTCGTCCGGTTCTCACTCACTCGCTTCTCTCTCTCTCTGTTTCTCTGTCTCTCTTTTTCTATCTATCTATCGCTCCCTCTTTCTTCCTCTCTCTCTCGCCTTCTTTTCCACTTGCCCTTTGGTTTGATCGCTCTCACTCGCCCCTTTCTCCATATCACTTCAACAAATCTACCGTATCTTATTGAAGGGTAATCCAATTTAATCAACATTCAGCATAAATAACCACATATACACACAATCCAAAATCAAATGAAAATTATTCACATCGAATTGCCACAACCGATATATATTTATAGCCGATGGAATGGTCTGAAATCCATATGAAATGAATATGCTCAAGCATTTATTGTTTCGCATAGAATCAATTGCGTCATCGACCTACTATTCAAAAATCAGTTGTTTGGGTTTGTTATTACGGTTTTGAAATGGTTTTGCTTTGGCTTTTTTCCACACACTATCAACGCATACACACAGAAACCATCACTTTGAAAAGGATACCTTTTATCGATGATGTCATTTTTTTTGGTCATTTCGACTTTGATTCCAGTCCTCGTATGTCAGTCTACCTGTTTTGTTTCTTTTTCTGTAAAAACTTTGATTCGTTTCTCCCATTGGACTATAACTCGACCCTTAACATGGTTAATTTTACTTTGATATACACGAAAATAGCATTGATCGAAGGAAGAAATACATTTCGAAAGTAGAAATGATTTCTCATCTTCAAAATAATGGTTATTTCCTGGAGTGGTTTCGGCCAAATGCCAAGGCCAGGTAAAACAATGCCGATAAAACGACACAGAATATGAATCTAACAGATGGAAACAATCGAATGAAACACATGTTTCGGTTGAAAAAAAAATGCATTCAGACAATTTGAAAAGTGCGCAATTATTGGGCGTCAATTAAGAGTTCGTTAACACTTTCCACGAGACTTTTCGCGAAAGCACGTACAATGAATGCAAAGGTTGTAGCCAAATCAAGTTCACGTTAATTCAATTAATTCGAACATTCTTCTGTGCTGCAAAATGCACCACATTCGCCCATTATTTTCGTGGAAATACACGTAACGGAGGTTTTTCGCGCGAAATTTTTTCGAATAATTCGAACGATTCTTCGGAAAAAATTCACGTGGATCGATTGAAGAGGTGATGCAAAAGTGATTATATTTTCAATGATGTATGTATTGACATCCAACGATGAATCTAATGCATCCATTTTTACGCATGATCTAGGTTGTTTCAATTGGAGCGAAATATCAAAGAAGACTGTGACTGAGTAGACTGATGGAACGTTTGTAATACGTAGATTTAACATCTTTCATGGCAAAAGAATCGATTTTCAAATGAAATCTTATATTTAGAAAAGGATCGATTTCCAAAATTAATGAATGAAAGAACCACGAAAAAATGTTCAAACATGTTTACAAAAACTTTTGGGCTTGAACCATGGATTATTTTAATGGTCCGTTCTATATGGCAAAATTCTATTGTATGTGTTATTTTGCCATATAGAACGGACCATTCAAATAATCCATGGCTTGAACAAAATTTTATTAATATTGTTTAAAAAGCTGATTGCCTTACGGCATCTGATCTGTTTCGTGATAATGATGGCCTCAAATCCTCTCTAACCACATTTCTTCTCTCACACACTCTATCGAAAGCCAGGTCTTGATAAACCCAGGTCTTGATTTTTATCCCGAGAAAAAAAAAATCCCCAAAAAATGACTAAAAAAATGCAGTACAACTAAACTGAGCTTCGGCTTCAATAGAGATAAAATCATGACTTGATTGGTACAAAATCAAATGAATTCACCGGTGAAAGCCGTCACATTGATTGATAAAACGGGTAAGTTTGATTTGAAAAGTTAGCAAAAAAAAAACTCTTCAATAAAAGTTGTTACCACAATAAAGTGTCTTCATTTGATTGGCGTTTTCATGTCCAAACCTTATTCGTGAATTGTAATGAAAACGCTATTTGTTTGAAAGAATTTCAACTATTCCGTTTATAAAATGCATAAAATAATTATAATAAATGCAACTTGTTTGCCATTGCGCTCTCTTCTCTCTGTTCTCGCTAGTTCCATTGAAGCGGAAATCAGTTCGTGTCGGCTGCAATTGTTGCAAAAACGTGTCGAGAGTATTATTCAATTTACGTCACATCAAGATATGGGCGATAATGTTTGACTACACCGTATTTGTGGAATAAATACAGAAACACACAATTGGAATTGGAATGTGTGCATCATGAAAATAGCAATTAAAAGTTTGCGTTGAAAAAAACCATTGTCCTTAAATAAGCGCATTTCAACTGATTTTTAGTGGATTACGATTCGGATTATTTCCCGTTAGCTTGGCAACTGCAGTTCGTGCTGCACCTATGAATTCAGGCAAACCAACCTATGACGACGGTAAAATGGGGCATCAAAACCCAGAAAAATCATTGAAGAGTGAAATTAATTAGTCAAAGACGATCAATCGTACACGAAAGTGTTGTGGTCCATATAAAAAGTTTGATAACATCATTGAATGCAATCGATTGGTGACACGAACGATTGCACGCTCCACAAACGAAAAATGCAAACACCGCCGATAAAATTGACTGGATCTAGAAAAAAAGTTGAATACATTACACGAGACACTAAACACATTTAATTTGTATTGGTGCTTCCCCTCTCGTCCAAATCGATAATAATAATAATGAGTGTGGAAAAGTGTGGCTGTGATTGTCCATAATACCTATGGCACTGCTACTTGATATACATCAAAAACCGATTTTATTTATCGGTATTCGCCTGGAAACGGTGCTATTTATTCATTTATATTTGAATGAGAAGGAGAAATAAGAAATAACATATAGTATAAAAGGTTTCAATAACGTCAGTTTTACTAAATAGACCCTTTGGATGTAATTTTCCTCATTAAATGCTGATTAGCCGTGATTGCGTCTCTCTGTCACTTGCAACGGCAAAAACTTGTTTCGTTTTTTCTGTGATTTGTGGAAAAAGTTGATTTTAATTGGTTTCGGTGACTGCATCTGAGCAATTGTTCTAGGTGATGATTTGAAAGCCATCCAGGGCATTTTTACCGTTCTGAAATGTGATGATACAATTGATACGTAAATTCGATTTCACCTTTTTTGAATCGATGATTGTGCTGGCTAACGCTAAGCCAAATCAACTAAATATTGTGCTTTTTGTTAAGTACAATGTTCGTTATTCTGCTGTTCGTTCAAGCTAGATAGCTGAATGGAAGATCCTTTGAAAAAAAGAAGAAGAAGGGTATTGGTTTCGGACATCAGGGTGGTTGGTATAGGATTTTTTTTGTATGTGTGTGTTTCGATCTAGAATAGAATGTCAAATTTTCTATCTTTTGTACTGTTTGACTTGGCCTGGCTTGGTCAACTTGGCTGGAAGCACAACGAATCAAAACAACAATGAGAAATCATAGCAACGGAAAAACGACAGAAGCAGAAATCAATACACAACAAAATAACGATTCAAATGCACGGAGGCCAATAGAAAGAAGCTCTCTCTCTCTCTCTCTCTCGCTCTCCTGCAAACGAACGAATGCGAAGGAATGAGCGAGCGAGCAAGCAAGAGAGTGAACGAGATAGTGAACGAGTGAGCGAAAACATGAACGAGAGACAGAGAGAGAGCGAACAGGTGAGAGCATAAGCTCGTGTGTGCCTCACTCTCTTTCGCCTGTTCACGTGTATGGCCCCGATATGCGACTTCGTCGTTGTTGTCGTTTGTTGAAACAAAACGATGAATGGTATATTCAATCCTCGTCCACATCCGTATCGCGCGCGTTGTTGAATATAATTGTTCTACATGTGTCTGTGTGTGGCTGTGCTGCAAAGACGAAGCAGGCAGAAGCACCTGCAGTATCGTTTTCGACATTCATCATTCTCATATCATAGCGCACACGAACGGAATCGATTCACACTCGATTCGAGTTGGCTCGTGTGTATCAATGCTGTATGATGTTTACTATATAGCTCTGTGTATGTTTTGTATATATAGCGGTTTACATTTTTACTTCTTCTTCTTCTTCTTTTTTGGTATGAAAGCCGTGTTGCTGTTGCTGTTGTTGTTATAGACATCCATGTTGAAGGTCGTGCGTGTGTTGCTCCAGCAACATGCCTGATGACGTAAATTCAATTGTGGAAAAACATTCCCTGTCTTCGATGTTGCTTTTTTTTTCATTTGCCAGGCAGCAAAAAAAAAACCATACACATACACCGAGAGAGTGAGCGAGGAATTATTGCCATTAAAATGCGATATCGCAACCGTGGAGCAAAGTAATATGAAACGCTGGGCTCTGTTGATTTGAATGTGTCGATGACGGTTATGGTGGTAGTGGTGGTGATGGTGTTGTTTCATTTTTATGTGCCCATGGTACGTGGTATTTTTGTCCTCGATGTGCTTACTTAAATACCTGCAAAATATGTGAGCTGTTACTTTTTACTTTGTGCGAGAAAATTGAGCGCAATACACGCGGCTATATCTGAATTGCCACGGAAATTATTATTATTCGCAGCGAGAAAGAGAGACGGAGAAGGAGGGGGGGTAGCGAGAAAAAAGTGAATTATAATCAAGTAGCAACAGAGAACATTTTCTTCGGTGTCAACACTCGAATTGCAGTGATCAAAACCAGAATTTGCTTATGCAATGGCAATGGCCTAAGATTGAGCATTTGCATTCAGTCAAACATATTTATTTCCCACAATAAATTCGACATACACATACGCACACGCATACACTCAGTTTTCCCCATTGAATCGCTAATTGCCCAAATGATCTGAACCAATAAAAGCAACAACCGCATATTCTGCGGTGCGTTTTGTTATCACACGAATTAAGCTGCTCCATAAAAAATGTTATCACGTTTGTGGCTTTTTTTTCGTCGTCGTCTTCACCTCTCTTTCTGCAATGTTGACTTCTTGTTAAATGAGGCGGTGATTCAACAAGAAAAAAAGAAACACGGCTCGGTATGCATCGTCATCCGTTCCATCGTAAATTATATCCAGTTTTAATTGGGCGCTTTTAAAGCATTTTGGATGATTATAAATGCCATAAATGACATCATCAGTCATGGAATTGATCACTGAATGTACTTGGTTTTGAGCGCACGAATGAGCAAACGAACAAAAAAGATTTGACTGAATGAAAGATGGTACAAACTGAAGATTAAGATGCAAAGAGAGCGTCTTGTTGGCAATTCGACCGTTTGAAACACTGACTTCCTTTATTGGTATCTATGTTTGTTGTTGTTGTCGTCGTCGTCATTTTTTGTTTCATGCAATCCAGTAACGGTTTGATTGGTAAAAATAATCACCGATTGCCAAAACTAGCTCGAAAAGTAGCTCAAAACTTAAAAAAAAGCTATACAAATCGCCGATTAGATACTTTCACTGGAGAAGTCATTGCACTTTGACTATTCGAAAAGTCTGGTTTGGTATTCGATTTTGAGATACACACCTTTCTCTTGCCAAATTAAAGCAACCGATTACAAGAACCATAACCGCACACAATACAGAAAAAATAGCGTAGACCATCCATCAAATATTTAAGTCAAATTTTTTTTTCTGCCATTGAGAGCTTGTGTGATAATAAAAGTTGAAAAAGAAGAAGAAGAAACAAAAAATTGGTGCAGTTCGATGGTTCTTGAAATTAATTTGAAGATATTTGGTTCATATATGAACGGATGGATTGTTCCGAATCGGAATAAAAGTTTCGTTAATTTTTTTGGGAGTACGTGTTTTATTTGGCCATTTTTGTTACCATCACCATCAAATTCATTATTACAACGGTAAAACTAATTTGAATTTGAGTGTGAATTGAGAGCGCGTTCTATCGGGCATATGATGTGATTTTTTGCAACATAATTCCGCTCTTCCTCAATGAGAGAGTCATGATTTATCTGTTCCCCAATGAGAGAGAGATACATAAAGAGAGAGAGAGAGAGAGAGGTAGAGAGTCTAAACTTTGTGCTTGTTCTCTTTGCATCGGTACAAAAATACGATCGAATCGTCCACACGCCAATCGATTCAAGATGTAATTTTATAAGAGCAACTCACCAGAACGGTGAATAGGCGAGTGAACAAGAAAGAGGAACGAGTGTGTGAGTGTGAAAGAGAGACGGGGAATTCATTGAGCATGTTCAATAGGATGCGCTTTTGATTTAAATTTAAATCAATTCAATTGAATTTGATTCTTTAAAGTATGAGTGATGATTTTGCGGCATGGGCCAAAGCGAGAGCGAAAGCGTGTGTGTGTGTGTGTATGCTATTTTCATCCGAATATGTCAGCCACCACAAACAATGGTCATGAGCAAGGAGCAAATAGCATCAACAACAACAACATCGACATCAACTACCAAAGCAAAGCAAAGCAAAGTAAAGCATTGCCTGATCGGTGTTAGTGTGCGCGCAAAGCCAAAACAAGCGGCCAGAATAAGCAAACACCGAGCGCAAAATAAGTAAAAATAAAAAGGAATCCGTTATATCCTATTTTTACTATTTTTCGACATTTTAATGATTTTTTTTCGGTTGCTGCTGCCTTCATCATCTGAAAAACCACTTCTTATTTTTGTTTCCCTTGCTCTTTCTCTCTGGCGCGCGCGCGCTCTCTCTTTTCAACAAAACGCCGAAGTTACTCTCGGAAATTTTATTATTACCCTACATCTACCGATTTCATTCTCCCAAACGAGAGGCCGAGTGAGAGAGCCGCCGTCGCCGCCGCCGCCGCCGCCGCTGATTCTCTTTGTGATCTGTGTTTGTTGTAGGAGACACACCGAATGATGCGCGCATGAAAATTTATTTTTGTTATTAAAAAAAGAAACCGAAACGAAACGGCCCATGCCACGGTTGGCTCTGTTGCCGTTGTTGTTGTTGTTGCTACACGGTTATTTTTTTGTTAGTGCGCGCCGCAACCGCTTCATCTTCATCATCAGCATTTAGTATGAATTGAACGCTCATATATTAGTTGATTCAATTATTTTCGGTTGGATGGTATCGACCAGCAACAAAACGGATTCCGAAAGGAATTTGAATCATACAGCAAAAAAAAAACTCTTTGAAAGTCATCAGAAAAGTGCTTGTCAAACGGAAGCGAAAAAAAAAACAGTTTTTTAATAATGGGTATTGATGATCAGGTTTTCGATCAACGGTCAATGGGTTTGATGTTGTCCAGTGCATGGCCAAACAATGTGACTGTTTGCCATTTCGAAGTGGTGTGTTGTGTGATGTGTGCAGGTGAATTGCAGTGCACAAATTGTCCAGGTGAACGGAACTCATACAAATATTGCGGTGGATGACGGTTAATTTTTTTTATCGCGAATGTGCAGACCCATGGCCAACAGTGATAGTCAAACTCGGACTAGTGATAGTGAGTGATGAAGTGATAGCGACGATCTTATGATGTGCGTGTCCTTTTGATTCAATTACATTCGGTTGCCGCGAGTTTTGTTTGTGTGCGTGTGCGTGCGTTCGTTCGTTCAGCTCCAACGTAATAAGCTCCTATAAGTTTGTTCCAATAAACGTGCATTTTGTGCTTTTTTTTTGACTCAATTCAATTGTTTGGCTCCAATCGATGACACAAAAGTTCCATTTTCTTGGATGGTAAAAATAAAAACGGTGAACACTTCGACCAAATCAACAACAACGTCAATTAAAATAAAAACCAATCAATTGCTAATGCGCACTTTTCGATACCAATTTTTATTCGATTTTTTTTTTCTTCTGCGTTTCGTTCTCCGTTCGGGAATCTATTCCTTTTTAAATATAGTATCTATCAGTTGTATCAAGTCCCGATGTAAATGCCATTATTGTCAGTTTTATTTAAAGATTTGTTTCAACTTTCAACGGTATTTTTATTTCATCTTTCCGAATCGCAACGGTTATTTTGGTATGATCTTAAAATAGTATGATTCCCGTAGATTTGTTTCAAACAGCAGTTTTGTGTACCTACATTGTGTTTACGAATTAATCTATTTGTGCTGAAAAGCACAAGCAAAGCGAACAAAATGAAGAAAAAAAAAATTGTACGCCTTGACGCCTTGCATGCTACTGCCTGATGCTATTTGTTATTGCTCCTTCTGCGATTTTACGACGATTCGCGCATTCTATTCAGATCATACGAATCGATCACACAAGAAAAGCTTTTTGCCGCTTCTACACAGAGAATCAATGGTCATTCGATAGATGACGCGATCTTACCTCAGAATCGAAACTTCATGTTCAAATCGCTGGATTCATAATCAGGACGAAATATTATTCCTTTTTAAATTCAATTTGCTTCTAGAAGCACTTTTTTGATTCGTTAACTCTTTTTGACTATTTTTTCACTTTCGTTTTGCTTGATGTGAAGTAGTTATGTGTTTTGACAGTAGTTCTCAAAATGTGTATAAAAACCTTAGATTCTTCCTCTGATTCGTGAAGAGTTGAGTCAACTTTAACTTTGAATACTTGAAATTTTCGGTTCAATTCTTGCGAAGTGTTGATTATGATGAAAACAAAATGCAACCAAAACACTCATGATACAAATCTCGACGTTGCTCACTGCATTCATCAATATGTAAAGTAAAGGAAGTACGGCTAAAAATAACGATACAACTTTATATTCAGCCAGAGCTTGACGGTGTTGAATAAAAATAAATAAATAAAAAATAAACTCATTGAGCTTTCCGGCATGCACAGCATTGTTTAACCTACTGAAAAAGAGATGGCGATACAATTTTCCCACCAAAAATTATTTCAAAAATACACAATCGCATTTGCACCAGGATAAGAAGTATGTTGAGCATTGCAAGAATGAATTGACTGCCACCGAAACGTTCATGAAGTTACTTCGTTGAAGTATCATTGTTTTTATTTTGTCAAAAATGATTTCGCTTTGATTGATAATTTTCGAAAGTCTTTCACATTTGATGTTTTTTTACGTTAAATTTTTTCTTCTAAAATTTCTCTTTAAACCTCCTTGGGTTTTGCGTTTTTTGTATCTTTCTTGTAGAGAAACAGAAAAAAAAACGGAAAATCATTTTTATTTCCCAAAAATGAACGAAATAATAAGCAAAGAGGAAAACCAATATTCTATGTTAAAATCCGTCCAAGCATCGAGTCCTGAAACTTTTCACTCGTAAACGATACTTTAAGTTCAAAAATACTGTTTCTCAAGTTCATCACAATGCGAAAACTTCGAGATTTCAACTGAGGTGATATTGACATTTTTTCCACTAGATGGTACGGTAATGATCGTTGCCGGTTTTGAATGATCGTGGCTCAGGCCATAATATCGAGCCAAATGCAATTTCGAATCTTTTTTCTGTGGTTATTTGATGCTTTTTATGAAAAATCATTACATCAAATTTTTTTCTCGAATAAATTTTTTTAAAAACCAAAATTATATAAGGAAAGACGTTTAATAAAAAAAAATCGAGTCTAGTTGAAAAAGATTAATCGATTTCAATAATCGATGATAATTGACAAGCAATAATAGTTATTGCAAATTATAATTTGTGCTCTATAACATTCAAATGGTCATTAATTTTCAATTCATCATGGTTTAGATCATGATACCAAACCAATTTTATGATTTTCACTGCAAATAAAAGTCGGTGTTAATTCGAGCATGAGACCGACGAAATCCATTTGAAATCAAATCCGTCGAAAAGCATTTGAAATCAGATCGAGTGAGCGATAGCACCAGCTAAAGTCATTGTTTTGCCATGATGTTGGGCGATATATTTGAAAGTATTTAATCGCTAACCTTGGCCCAGCAACATATAAGCTACTAAAAAATAACATTAACATGACGTTCGGTCTTAACTGAAATGCCTTGCGCGTCGTCGATTGCGTGTGTTTATCATTTTGGTCATATAACAACAAAATGACAACAGCCAAAAGTCGAAGCAACAAGCAGCAAAATTACATACACTCACATTGGTCTCTCTGTCAAACGACGACGACGACGGTAACAACAACAAAAAAAGTCATTAATTCCAATCGGTTGACATCGAATTGTAAGTTCACGAATGGTTGCGCGTCGGCAACATGCATTTACATATGAATATATCGATGATGATGATGATGTTAGTTTTATGAAAGTGTTTCTTTTTACTTTAACAAATCCAACCATCGATTTGACACCTCGGTGTCATTATTATTGTTGTTCAAACCATATTTCTTTCTCCATTAAAATGTTCAAAAAGAAAACCAACGAGATTAAAATGAAGAGAGATTTTGTTCGTGCCTTTCATTTATTCAAATGTGTATTCTAGCGCTGAGGAGAAAACGCAATTTTGTTGTCATTCACAGGGAATGAGAGAGAAAGAGAGAGAGAGAGAGAGAGAGAGAGAGAGAGAGAGAGAGAGAGAGAGTCAAAACACATAAAAATGTGAAATGAAAAACAAATTAAGATCATTTTCGAGCGAGGATCTCGAGCCTGTTGCATAGACGGACAGAATGAAAGAAAAAGGGTCGACCCGATAATGAGACGTGCGAAAGAGAAAGAGGGACAGAGAAAAAAAAAACAGTGAGAGAGCGCGCGCCCAAGCTCAATTTTCTCTATTGTTTTTTTCTCGACCAGAATGTTTTTTTTTTCCTCTGTTTGGCAAGTGGCCAGCATTTTTCAAAGGCAAAATAAAATGTTGTCATAGTTGTGCAGCCAAAACGATCATGTATATTCGAATCGTTTTGTACGCTCTCGATGTTTATTCGATGATTGTGTGCTCGCTCGATGTGGGCAGCCAAATGGTACAAAAAACAACAACACACAAAATGGAAGAGCAGAAAAAATACGATGCTGGAATTAGTCATTTTTCATTTGAGTTTTTTTTTTCACTTCTTTCGTGGATGTTTTTTTTCTCGCTCGCGTTTCGGATAGAAAAATTCGCCTCTTAAAACTGTCAACAAAATTGTTTTTCCTATTTTCCCCAAAGGATACGCTAAAACACATAAACTGCGGCCTTTTTCACGTTGATCGCTATGATTCAGCCCATGGCTGAAGCCATTTGATGTAAGACAATGATTAAAGCCATTGATGACGAAAGTCAACCAATTACGGCAAATAGTCACAAGACAATGTGGTAGCCTCAAAATAAGCGAGGCATATGAGTAAATTCAAAAATAATTACAACTCAATTCAATTTGAAAAATCTGTGAAAAAAAGCAAGGGTAAGCAAGGGTAAGCACTTGGGAGATGCATATGTCTCTGAAAATCTCATGGGCCTTGATTCCATTCGTGAAAATCCGGAATTTGTTTTGTCTTGATCAAGAAAATTCCTAAAGAAATTCAAACCTTGCCCTGGTGAAAAAAAAACTATTGATTAAAAACTAAACTAGTTGTCGTCTATTTTGGGTCATTTTATATGGACTTCTGTACGTGGTGTGGTTGGTACAAAGATGATTTTACCGGTTGGATTACCAATCGATTTCAATCATCTTTGAACAAATTCAATCAACCTGGCCGATTCAGTCAGCCAAATGTATTAACCATGACTGCCTAGTGATTGAAATAAATCCGATCAAAGTACATACTATGTACAAAATATAGTCAAAATGCCCCAAAATAGTCAACTGTTGCAACTTATAATCGCTAGTCACTTATAAATTGCATGGAGACAAATCGTTGAATGACCGAAATCTAATTAACATAGTCGAAACTTTTCACAAGATCAAGAAAATCTGAATCATCGACAAAAAATCTTCCTCGGTCAAAGACAAATTAGAAGAAAACTTCATTTTGATTGAAAAAAAATCCAAAGCAAACCCTTTTTTTCGTTCGAGAAGATTGAAGAAGAAATGATAAGAAGAATCAATCAGAAAAACAATTGAAGAAGAGTTGAGAAAAAATCGATTAAAAACGAAATGAAGACGCGATAAGAAGATTTCTTCTTTACGAAAAGGAGACGCATCTACTCCGTCCAAGAAGACCGCAAACCACTAGTTCAATCTCACTTGATGAAAACACAAAAGAAAATGCAATTTAAATATTGACAATTGTTGCACTCGAAATTACTTGGCATGATCGAAATTGATGTTCATTCCATTTTAAGCTATAACTCATACTTGAAACTTCTAAAAGTGTTTTGAAGCGATTGTTTCTGTGAAAGGCTTTAAAATTTAAAGTTTAAATATTGGCATTGAAATTGGAAATTGAGTTAGTATTGGTCCGATACTATTGAAATTGCAATTTTGTTTGTTGGTATTTGGTTGACGACTCAATGATTTCGACTCGATTCAAATATCACAAGCCAAAGTGTTTGTCTAGTCTTCTCGTTTTCGTTCTTCTTTTTTCTTGAAAAACTTTCAACGTTATTAAATGATAACGAAAATTGGCAATAAGTGACTGAAACGATAGCAAATTGACCATTTGAAATTTACCAACAACAAACAAATTGGAATGAAAAAGTGAAATTGGCAGCCAAAAAAAAAAAAAACTGAGAAGGTCAAGATCCAAAGATGCAACCAAGCATAATTTGGTTGAAGAGTCATGATTGTCATTTTCGAAAAGGAAAACCCATTGATGGATGGAAAAACAGTTGCATTGAAAATATTTCTTGTTGTTGTTTTTACAATTTAGTCTTTCGGTTGCATTTCCAATCAAAATGCAGTGTGCCCGTGGAGAAATAAATGAAGAGATGCCGTACATGTCAACGTTGCGATGTGAGAAATGTGAGATTCGATTTGTTGTTCTGACGGGCTGTGAGTGTCTCGTTCTAACAAATTGTTTTGTCACTGTCATCTCATCGATGTGTGTTATATTTCTCTTGCACTTTTACTACTTTGTTTTAATGGCCGTTTTTTTTTTCTCATCTTGTTCTTTTAAATGATCGCCGTGCATGGATTCGAAAGCAAGGCAATAATATAATATTTAACTAACGATCCAAGCCATGTATAAATTTTCGTTTCGTTTGTTTCGCTCCCTCGTTGCTCTTCATATTATTCCTTTTTTTCTCGTTTGTTGCTTCAAACTCAACGAGAGAGAGAGAGATTCTCAGTGTATGTGTTTTTTGTCTCAAAAGAAAAAGAAGAAAAAGAAGAAAAAACTAAAAAGACGAAGATTCATTTTACCGTTTCTTTCTTTTCTAGGTTTTTGGATATTTGCCAAACATATCGTGTCACCGTTGTGTTGCTAATATCCCCGGCAATTGTGGTCAACGACGACGACGACGAGTAGCATCAATGTATGTATATATCTATGTTATGTGTGCCTATATATTTTAAATAATGTCGAATATTTATTAGAGTTTCTCATCGAATTTTCGGACCGCGTTGTTGCGTTTGGCGTGCGCTTTGCCAAAGCGATTGTATCATATTGTCACCACCCATCCATTTAAAAAAAAAAAAAAAAGAACATTAATTTACTACGGAATTTTTTTCTCTCTATCGCCGTTTGACTTACATTCACGTTGTTGTTTTTCGGTGTCGAGAGCGGCAAAAAACCCAATAGAAACACCTCTGTGAATCGCGCACGCCGATCCGATCGACTCAAATCATTTAACAGCGTCGTCGTAATTCAATCATAATTTGTTTTGTGACTGTGTGTGTGCGTGTGTGTTTCAAATCACAGATCTTTTCGAGAAAAAAAAAACACAAAATGACAACAACAAGACCCAACTGAAATGAATGATTTTTCGGTGACTCTCTGGCATTTCGAAGTTCGTATTAAATTTTATGACCGTATTCAATAGCATTTTTAAAATGGGTAATATTCCTTGTAAATTTAATTACAAACAAGAAGAAGAGAGAAGAAAACACAAAAACCATTTTTATGCCCGTTTTAAGATGAAAAATTAGCGGAAACCGATTAACTGATGCTTCCATACATCGTTGTACAGTGTACGATTCGTACACAGAATATGAACGGGAAGAAAAAACCAAGTAATGGAAAAATCATTCAAATCTATCGTCATTTTTATCTCAAACATAAAAAAGGCAACAACAACAACAACAACAACAGCATCTAAATTAAGGAAGCCGCATATTTTTCTATCTCTCGTTGCTTCCACGAATGTATGTTGAAATCCAACCAGAAAAAAAAAACATGAACTCAAGTAACTATTCTTTTCGAAATGGAAACAAAAAAAAAACGACAAAAATTCGTTCCTTCCGAATGGTGTGTCGTTTAGTTCTTTTTTAATTTGGATCAGTCCTCCTCTCGAAAATTAAATGTGATGTGCTCTCAAGCTCCGGAGCCGAGTTGTATCAATGCCGTGCCACATACAAATTTAAATTGCATTTTCGTTTGAGAGACAACGGAAAAGCCAAAAACGGGAAAATCTTCCACGGCAATGTATCGTTGATCAAGCGAATGGAGATTAGACACCGTTTTTCTCGACTTTTTTTTTCACTCTCGGTGTGTGTATATAGAAGACCGCGATATGAGAAGATCAGTGCACATAGAAATCATTTGGCTCCGGGTGTGCGGCTCTCGTTCTCATCACTCGCGTGCTGTATCTTTTCAGTTGATTCTCTCTCAGTTGAAAGGTAAGCAGCTACATAAGTCACAAGCATAATAAATAACATGTTTCACATATTTAGTGTATCTTTTTTTTCCCCTCGGTCGTTGTTGTTGCCCATTTTCTTTGCTCATTTTCTATCCTCGTTCACATTGTTGTTTTCCATGCGAGACAGGAAAATGACGATACATCTACTGAACTTTCTCGTTCATTCTTTCGATTTTCGAAACTCATTCGCTCCGTTCATGCTTATATATTGCCCCAACAAATGCAAACAAATCAAAGCCATTCAATTTCGAATGGCATCAGTTGAAAATGAAGTAAGAAAAAGAATGCATGCCAATCGTATCAATTAAATGCAATTAAATGACTGTTGTTGTTGTAAATTGTTTTACTTCTTCTTTTCGTTTCCATGGAAAAAAATGCAGTTGGAAAACTCAAGTTTGCGATCAACCAATGAATATTCTACGAAATAGTGGAAGCCAATTCAAACGGTATCATTATTACGAATGTTGCGTTGATTTGAAATTGAAACCGTTTTTTCGCCGGAAAATGCATGAATGAGAGAATGATAATGAGAGAGGGAGAGAGATAGATTGGAAGAGAGTAAGAGAGTGAGTGCAAAAGAGCGAGATTTCGAGTGAGATAGCGAGATTTTTCATTTTATTCACTGTTATGTTTACCTCTGTTTGACGACCGGGCCGCGCACATATTATATATCGCATTTCATGGCAGCGACTCATTTGTTCGATCACAAACCAAAGACAGAATCATCACGGTTGCTTCACGTACGACGAAAAGCTGAGAAGCCGAGAAAATACGAACGGTTTGCTGTGTGTGCGTGTATTTAAATGACGTTCACAAGATCCTAAAGCGCACGGTCGCGCGTAATAAGAGCTCGATTTTGAGCATCGAACGAGTGTGCTCGCGCGCACATTTACATTCGAGAGATGGGCGCTCTGACTCATGTCTGCTATTTTATGTGAAATGATAAATCCACGTCTATGTAATGGCATATAACATCGCATAGAACCCGTAATGTATATTATATTCGTCATCACATCGACGAGAACAACAACGACCGACAACGACCGAGCTGTTTATACCTCAGAACAGAGCAGCGTGCACCGTTCCGATGAGGGAGAACGACGTGAATGCGACATGTGCAATGAAATGAGCCTACGAAACGAACCACACGCATCAAACACACTAAATGCCCCAAAAGATTTGAAGGCAGCATGCAGCTGTCGAAAACAACGAACTTTATGGATCATAATATGCATACGCTTTTTATTCCTTCGTCGACTTCTGCCTCGGTTCTTCACTCTCTCTCTTTCTCACGCTCGAAAAATTCCATCGAAATCATACGTTACGGAGGATTATTGATTCTCCCATTGGGAGTGCCATTTTTCTCTAGCAATTATGCCAATTTCAATCACAATTGAAATAACGGAATTTTAAAAACGATTCAAAATCAAACGATCACATTTTTTGATCGAACATCTCTTCAACTTTTCCACATTTTCCAAATTTTTGAATTCCTATCCTTACTCACATTCACTCATCTTCCAATTTTTTCGTTGCTTCCAAAAAATCGACCTTTTCTGGGACACATAATCTTCAAGAGAACAAAAATTAAACAAAAATCATTATAAGAATGAAATTTACTTCGAGCAACAACATAAAATCGGCTCAAATAAAAAAAAAACGAATGGAAGTCGATCAAAAATCGCATGGATCGACTCGAGAATCGCATTTTCTTCAAACCGATCAGTCATTTGTTCATCTGATCGTGGTATGTGTTCGGAAAAAAAACATGTTTTCAATGGGCAAAAATCGTCGGATCGATGGTGTATTGTTTTCCGATGAAAATGTCATTAATGTGCGCGAATTGCGGCGAAGAAAAACAAAGTAAAAAAAAACGGCGAAAATCAAACATCAACACAACGGATCGAAGCAGTGATTTTTCACATTTCCAATCCGGGTTTCATTCGAGTCTAGTTTTGCACCGCCTTTTGAAGTGAAACTAATGTAATCGTATTTCCTCTTCGTTTAATCGCCTAGCCTGTTGTTTGTTGTTGTTTTTTCTCTCTGCCATGATGTTTGGTGGCTCGAGCCGTGCTCGAAATCGTCATAACATTGGGTTTTATGTTCCGTGTGTGATTTAGCGATCGAGTGAAAAAGCCTTCTTCTCTCTCATTTACACACTCTCTGTGTCAGCGGGAAAAAAAGCGAGCAGTTTGAGCGAGCAAAAGACAGAGATCGAAAGCGATTACGGTTTTATTCGGTTGGTTAATGTACACGAGTCACCCGATCTAAAATGCGCCCATATGCATCACATAAGATGAAATGAGCCTGAATAATAATAAAAAAAAGAAGAGAGAAATCGAAACAAGAGGCACACAGAAAAATATGTGGCAAGAAAATTGAAAACATACGCACACACCGAAGCGGTCCCAGCACAGGATCGATCTATACACACTCACACATGATCTGTCTCTCTATTTTCCTTTTACACTCGTTCTCTCTCTCTCGCTCTCTCTCTATCTCTTTCTCTTTCTCTTTCTCGCGCATCTTAAACGAGCTCTGCGCGCTACACAGCATCAGTATCAGCATCAACACCAGCAGCAGCCAACATACATAAACGAGAATCTTGTCTTGTTGAAGCATTTTCGAACGCAGAAAATGTTCATTCAAAATGCAATTGAGAATGCGAGGCGAGAGCAACGCATATGTTTTTCACTTTTGTGACTAAGTGCTTATGTAGCACGTGCCCGACGTCGTCTATGGTCTATGGCATCATTTTTATTGTTTGTGTTCTGTGTGTATGTTGTTTTCATTTCGTTCATGTTTCTCTCTTTTTTGCCGCTATCGTCGTTGTCGTTGTTTCACTTTGCATTTTACTACGAATTTTCAATCTTGCTCATCGTCAGCGTCGTTGCTGTTCTGAGATTTGTTGCACATTCAACGGCAGATGTACCGTTTCTAGATGCAATTTGATTTCAACGGAATTGTGTGTGAGTGAGTGATGTTGGGCTCTGGCTCGCGTGCGCGTCTTGTTTTCCATTTGCTGGCCCCTTTGCGCGCATCAATACTTTTAACAGCCCAGGTCAAACTCTTTTTCGCCTGCTCTCTCTCTCTTGCCATCCCATTCCCTCTAACGCAATCTGTGTCTCAATCGCGCTGGTCTCTCGCGGCTAATGTTGTTGTTATTCGAAATATCAACGCATGCTCAGCTTCCGAGTGCCGAGTTTTGTAATTTATGACTTTGTTTAAACAAATTTGTGCCGATTATTTTTTTTCTCTCTCTTCTCCTTCTTCTTTGCTACTTCATACGCACATCGAGCAAGAGTCCTACGCGCCAAGCAGATGAATAAGATCAACATTTCAGCATTACTAATTTGCTGCGCTCAAGCGTATACGCGCTCTGTGTTCGCAACATTTGTTCACTTTTCCACTTAAGCACATAATTTTTGTTACTCGTATAGCGCATAGCGCACACAATGGAAGCAAAGGAAAAGAAACACATTTGCACAATTCATATGCGGTGTGCAGGTGCAAAGCCGACCATTTCGTCTGGATATACTAATTTTTGTTTTGTTTTAATAAGAAATGAACCATTAAGAATGTACAATGGCAAACAAACAATGATGATTTTTGCTTCGCTTTACTCATCACGCACGCTTGTTACATTAGTGCAATTTGCAAAAGATCAACTCATTTAT